ATTTCCTTTTCTTTTAACGTATTTTTTAGCCAATCGAAGAATCCAATATTCTGTTTATTTTTCTTTATAAATTTATTAAATCTTTTATGAAAGGCATTTAGTAATTCTTGAGGGAATTCAGCTAAATACCAATCTCGAATTTATTTATTTTCTTCGGACAGGAAATCATTTATGAGTCCTTCTTTATGTATCTTGAATCTTTCCTCTTTCTGAAGAGTAAGTATGTTAAAGTCCAAATCAGAGGGCATTGGTTCATTATTAGATAAACTTGGTTCATAAACTTTATATATTGGTCTTTGTATATTACTATTGGTTCTTGTTAATCCTTGCACTATAGATCTTTGAGGTATAGAAGAAGTAGAATGCCTTGAGGGCAATGTATGTCTAGATGGTATTCTAATAGGTCCTTTTGATAGATTTATTTTTGTGCGTCTATTTGTATTAAATTGTATTGCTATATCCCCATCTGGATATTCAATGATTTGGTCTGGTTCTCTATTTATAGGGATTTTAGACTATTGATTGCTACAGTGTAAAGACCAATTTTTCGGAAGGGTAATCTGGAACCAACTTATAGATTTTGGTATAACTGTATTTGATTTTTCTATGTTGGTTTGAAAGAATACAGTCTGTCCTTTTGTGTCCATTTGCAAAGCATTTAGACATAATGTACTCATTACTTTATAACATATTCTGTATACTAATGTTATGTTTTGTGATACAGGGTTCATATCAAACCCCTGAGTTTTTATATTTAGTGTAAGTACTTTTAAAAGGTTAGGGTCTGCTAAGGAGACAGAAAAGTTAGGGAAGCAATTGAAATATATAAGTCCATTACAAAGGCTAGATTCTATTATTCATAGGCGAGAGTTAGTAAACTTATTGTGACGTTCATCCCGTAAGCATAGTAGGATAGAGTTATTTAATCCTAGCCTAGTTAAGGGTTTGACTACTATTTGAATTAATCCTATATGTAGGTATTTATATTCTTTAGTTTTGTGGTTTTGTATCATCCTATCTAATAGTAGTTGCAAGCTTTCTTGCTCATTATTTATAGATATACTTTGTCCGACTGTCTTAATAGCAAAACTGGACTTAAATTCAAAAGATCCTTTTTTATATATATCAGATATAGGTACTTTAAGAATATTCCAATTCTGTATTTGTCTTTCTATATTATCTATAGTTACCTCTTCTTTATTTTTTATTCGTAGTGTACTATTAGATGAAGATGATGTTCTATTGGATAGAGTCCTAATGAAATTTGCCATTTCAAGATAGCGGTTGAATACTTAGTCAATCGGAAACAGTCCTTGTACCTTTTTCACGGCTCTTCCTGCCCTTTTTGGGTAGTGCGGGTCACGACGACTTTTAGTTTCAATTCTCGGACTTATCTTGAATGGTAAATTTGATTAAGCTTTTAGCCTTTAGAACAGTTTCTAGAGCTACAGTTCACCACTGTAAAATCAGTTGGCTCTGATACCAAGATGACCAGGATCTATAAAAATTGCTTTTGCAGTTATAATTCTATCAGTACAATTTATCAATACACTATTTTAGAATAAGAAGCAATATTAGGCAGGCAACACATAAGAGAGGTGATACATCAATAACAAACCAATTTATATAAGTGGTAATTATAAACCTTAAACAGAATATCAACTTTATTTGCATAATAGATATTAGACAAAGGAAACTTACATTAGGCACTTGCAGTAACTAGAGAAGATTTTCCACTCTTCAGAGCAATAACACGGTAGAGTATCCAAATTCAATTACACATGTACAAATCCTCACAGTCACTCTTAAAAGAAATTCGATATGGTTGATGCACCACCTGATATACAGGAGTAGAAAAGAATGAAAAAGGACCAATATAATAATAGTAAAGAAAAGAGAGAATAACAAAGAAAGGTAATAGAATAGTCACATAGTATAAAGAAAACAGAGGACTAATGTAGAGAGTTACAGAGAAAGAAGGAGAAGATAAAGCAGCCGGATTTTTCTAAGAACATAGAGCACTGACTAAGAAAGATATCAGAGAGGAATGGCTAAGAGTTCAGAGAGATATTGCAGAGGAATGATAGCACAAAAAGATATCACAGAGATATATGAGCTCAGAGAGGTGTTACATAAAGATGAGAGCACAGTGGGATGTCACAGAGAGATGAGAGCACAGTGCGATGTGTGAGAAAAGGTTTGGGTAGAGAACAGGGAGAGATAAAAATTAAGTGGAGCAGAGAGAAAACCTGAGTAGAGAGCAGAGAGAAAACGCTCTGGATTAGAGAGCACTCAGGGAGGAAGAGGTCTTCGAACTCCCGATGGTTTCAAATGAACCTTCGTCTTGCTTTTGTAGATGATGGACGCCAGAGTTTTTATTTGGAGTCCGCTGTCTCTTCAAAGTTAAAAGAGGTGAAGTGAAATAAAGTAGGATGAATAGTAAAAATGTGTCGGTGGAAAATATGTGAATAGTAATTTGTCGGCAGCATCTGTCAACGGTAGATTTGTCGACAGCATCTGTCAACGGTAGATTTGTCGGCAGAATCTGGCAACAGTGAAAGGTAAAATTATTGGTGTTGGCAGCATCTGGCAACAGTGAAAGGCTTTTGGCTGTATTTGTGTCGGCAGCATCTGAGAATAGTAGAGGTTGTCGGCCGTAAAAGGTTCCTTGGCAGCATCTATCAGTATTTGTCAGTTACATCTGGTAATAGTATTACGGGCTTATGAGAAGTCGGGTCGTGGTTGCTGGAGCCCACAGTCTTCATTTTCTTGGGTATGATCCTCTTCATTTTGCGTAGAAGTAGACATGGCTTCATCTTCATCATCGAACATTTGTAAGAGTTTCTTTTTGAGTTCCTCTTTGCTGGCTGTAGGATGTTGTTGACGCATTTTATTTATCTAACTAGACATATTTATTTCTGTTTCTGGAGATGGAACTGGAATCTTCTTCATTTTGATATTTTCAAGATCCAGGACTTTGTTCTCATAGACGTCCCACCACTTTATGTATATTCGTCTTCCTAGTTCGAGAATGTATTCCCAATTATGTTTATAATCATCAGTTATTTAGTATGACCACTTTATTATCCAAGGTATCTGATATAGGGCCGTGAAGTACATATGTATATCTATTTGTGTATTATTATTATTATATTCAATGAATTTCCTCTGGGAAGCTCGTATTTTTGGGGGCAGTGTTTCTGTCCCTGATCCTTAGAGTTTGAACCAATTTTTGAACCAGTTGGGGAATTCTCCTAATAATGGTATTTTTATTTGAAGAAACCAGGTATGGGAATTATTACTATTTTGGAGGAAAAAAACATTACGCCAAGGTTCTATATAGTCAGAATATCTGAAGTATTTAATATTGAATCCTTCGGTTTGTAGCCTTCTAGACTTTAATGGGTCTAAGCCCCACTCTTCATATGACATAATTTTTCGTATTTGAAATTTAGAGTAGGCTATGATATTCGTATTTTTTCTATAAAAATGGACCAATGTAATTGATCCCGTCTCTAACAATATGGCTTCAAATCATTCTCTGGTTTTATCATTTTTTGATGGATGGAGGTGATTATTTAGGTAGATATTGGCTATTTCATACGGATCTTTATTTTTATTGAATATCTTCTATTATTATTGTAGTTATAAAGGAGGTTTCTATAAACCTTGTTTTCTTATATATATATAT